TAGATCTGCCATATGATCCAGCAATCCCACTCCTACTGATATACCCAAAGGCAAGTGACACACGTGATTAAAAAGGCACCTGCACACCCGTGTTTATTGCAGCACTATTCCCAATAGCCAAGATATGGAAACAGCCAAGATGCTTCACTGCTGATGAATGGATTAAGAAAATGTGGCATTTATACACAATGGAATTTTACTCAGTAGCAAAGAAGAATGAAATTTTGTCATTTGCAGGTAAATGGATGGAACTGGAGAACATCTTAAGCAAAGTTAGCCAGGCTCAGAGGACAAAAATTGCAGGTTCTCCCTCATATGCGGATTATAGACCTAAAACAAATGCAATAATATTATTGGACATGGGTCACACACTAAGGGGAGAACGTGCAAGGCAGGAATAGGGAAAGGAAAGGAAACCTAAAACTTGAATGTGGCTGATGTGCTCAGCGGAGAGGAGTGAATACAGTAATCTTAAACTGGCAGAGGCCACTATGGAAAGGGGACTGGGAAAGTATGGAAGAGGTTGGGTTGAAATTAATCAATGTGGGTTGCAATACACAATGCATGGAAGCAATGCTAGGAATCTCTCTGAATAGCTATCTTTACCCCAAACTAGCAAAAGCGATATGTCTTTCATATTATCTCTTAGGTTTTCTCTTCAACAAAACCGGAGAACAAGAGGGCTGAACAGATTCCACCCAGAAGATGGGAGGAGGAGAGCAGGTGTGAGAGGAAGGGGAAGGTGGCCAAAATAAAAGCAAGAAAGATAAAGTTTTGAGAGAAAAGTAGCTGCCAGCTTGTAATGTGAGAAGGTTGGAGGGTTGCAGTGTTTCCAGCACTGGGGTCATGTGTTAGTCTTGCAAGTCTGCCTTCTTGATACGCACCTGTAGGTAGCTTTTCTCTGCTGCAGTGTCCCTCTAGACAGTGCCCTCTAGACAGTCACACGTGGGTATCTGAAACTGAAATTGTCTTAATCACATCTGCTTCTGTTTTTCATTAACAGTCTGTGCACTCTATTCTGAACTATTTGCCCAGGATAGCATATGTTGAGAAGGTTCTAAGTTTTTGTGATTTAAAAGTTTTTGAGTGAGGGAGGAAAAGCTGCATGCATGTCACTGCTGACTACAGGCTTCTTTAATGTTCTGGATCATATTTCTGTGTGTATACAATAAGAATGGTCTGAAGTAATTGTGCTATATTTATGTTTATTTCCAGTCTTTAAATAAAAAAGAAAATGGGAGGGTCACCTTGGAATTCTGAACTCAGTAAAACTATCAAAATGCATGTGAAATTTAAAAACAATTTTTTTGCCAAAAAATGTTTTTTCCCTAAAATAAATGTACAAGGAATATTCCACTTTATGGAAAGAAAAGCAGCTTGACCCTATTCCGTTTACAGTTGTACCATCTGGAATATGTGGACTCTGATGTGGCACAGGAAGATGGGGTCCAGTGGTCACGCAGGAAGTTTTTAATGGCCAGACTTGAAAGAGGCCTCTTGCACTCACATCCCGCTGACCAGAGCACAACCACTTGGCTGCATCTGACTACAAGCCTGGGGAATGCAGAGTGACACATGGGTATTGGTAATTCTTTGCAACATGCAGGCATTTTGCTTTAGAGGAAATGCAAATGGCTAAGAAACATGAAAAGTTACTCAGCTTCTTTAAAACGGAGGGAAATAAAAATTAAGGCCTTAGGTGAGTGTAATCTTTATTCATCAAATTAAATGATTACTCAGTCATATGTTGTAGAGGATCAGTGGAGCTCATGCTAGTGGTGAGAAGCATAAATATACTTGAACATTTTGTAAAACTGAATAATAGTGTAGTCATGACCCAGCAATTCCCTCCAGTATGGACCCTCGAGACACCATTACCTACCAGGAAGACACGTGCAAAACATACAAAACACGTATGAACAAGGATCATAATGAAAAGGGAGGGAGGGGAGAAGAGAGAAAGGAAGGAAAGAAAGCGCCAACTCAAATACCCAAAAATCAAAGGAATGTACTAAACATCCCAGAGATAGTGCCACAAAACTCTGACGAGGTGGAATTCAATAGAATTCCTTTCAACAAATGGCACTGGATGTCCATGGTGGGGGAGTGTCAACCTAAACCTCACACTTTGTACAAAAATTCATTCAAAATGGATCATGAACTTAAATCTAAAGCTATAAAACTTAAAAAAAACTTTAGGCGACCAAAAATCGTATGTTCTCCCTCATATGTGGACATTAGATCAAGGACAAATACAACAATGGGATTGGACTATGAGCACATGATAGAAGTGAGAGCACACAAGGGAGGGGTGAGGATAGGTAGGACATCTAAAAAATTAGCTAGCATTTGTTGCCCTTAACGCAGAGAAACTAAAGCAGATACCTTAAAAGCAACTGAGGCCAATAGGAAAAGGGGAACAGGAACTAGAGAAAAGGTTAGATCAAAAAGAATTAACCTAGAAGGTAACACCCACGCACAGGAAATCAATGTGAGTCAATGCCCTGTATAGCTATCCTTATCTCAACCAGCAAAAACCCTTGTTCCTTCCTATTATTGCTTATACTCTCTCTACAACAAAATTAGAAATAAGGGCAAAATAGTATCTGCTGGGTATTGAGGGGGTGGGGGGGAGAGGGAGGGGGCGGAGTGGGTGGTAAGGGAGGGGGTGGGGGCAGAGGGGAGAAATGACCCAAGCCTTGTATGCACATATGAATAATAAAAGAAAAAAAAAATCTTTAGGCTTTATGGCTAGGCAAAGAGTTTTTATACAACATCAAAAACGTGACTTTTAAAGGCAAAAATTAGCAAATTTGACCTTAGAAAATTAAAACTTCTCTCTAAAAGAACAAGCCACAGATGAGGGGGAAATATTTGCAAATCATATTATGTACGATAAAGATTTGTAACCAAAAACTTTAAAGAACTCAGGCTCAATCTTAGAAAATCTTTTTTTTTTTTTAAAGTGAATAAAAGTAGCTGGAGTTATAGCTCCATGGCAGAATACTCAGGCCTAGCACTCATGTGAGGCCCTGGATTTATGGCCAACACTGCAAAAGAAGGGGCAAAAAAGTGAGTAGAAAAGACTTGGACACTTTGTCAAAGAAGAGTATATTTGAGCGATAGTAAGTACATAGAGATAGAGAGTCATTGTGAGAATCAACTAAATTGAGTCTTTTCTGTCAAACAGTAAAGCATGAGAGTCTTCATTTCAGATTCATGGGTTTGAACCTCTTTCTCTCCCCCTCCCCCAATATCGACACCATGGAACATTTCTGTCATTGTGTGGATATTAGCTAATGTCCCTAGTTGTCTATGTGCTCAGTGGCACGTCATCTGGCTGTAAAGTTCCTGCCTTTAAGCAGAGAACTGTTTGTTGTTGGATGTCCTAAACCCAACTGCTAGTTTTAGGATACTCATTGCCCAGAGGAATCTCTGTTTCAAGGTCCCCTTGGCCCACAGGTTAATTATATGCTTGGTGCTACGGTTCCAAGCCAAACAGTCCTGTCAAGCCTCAGTTTCCCCAGAATGCTAGAAATTCCCACCTTAGGGAATCACCTCTTTGTCTTTGGATACACCAATCAAATTAAGTCTGGTGTCTATGCTCTCCAGTCATGTCTGTTCTTCCCCTATGCCCTCCCATAAACCTGGACCATTGCCAATCACAAAGACTGTGAACCCCAGCACCTCAACTCCCTCTTTAGAGCAAGGGGCAGCTTGCTCTCTAAAAGAGAGGGGTGTGTGTTGGCTGGCTTGACTTATGTCAGAGATACACACACACTCTTCTGCAGAAGTAAATTTGACCTTGCTCGTCAGCGTTCATGTGTGTCTGACTTGTGATCAGATATTTCTAATCGTCATTGGGGAGATACAAATTTAAATGTCAATGAAATACCACTGCACAGCTCTGGAATGGCTATAATTTAAAAAGTGTTTGTTTTCTATAATACCCAGTGCTTTCAAGAATGGGACCTAACTGTAGCTCTCATATCCCTGGTGTGATATGAAAATAGGCCCTGCAGCATGCTAAGCATAGGCTCTACTGCTGAGCTAAAACACCTAGTCCAGTTCAGGTACTTGGAAACCAGTTGAGGACTTCTCATCTAGTTAAACCAAGCCTACCATTGGAGCCAGCAATCCTATTTGTAGGTATTTGTCTAAGTGAAATGAAAATGTGTTCACACACAAAAATTTTTATGTGACTGTTTTAGAGTGGAGTTATTAATGACAGCCTCAACTGGAAAAAAAAAAATCAAACGTTCCTTAACTGGGACAGGCTAAACAACTGTGGGACATGCATTCAATGACAGAGCAATCAACAAGGGGAGGGGAGGGGGAGGGGAAGAGAAAAGTCTCAAATACATTATGCTAAGTAACAGAAACCCAAAACAAAAGGTTATATATTATGTGATTCCATTTACACAATACTCTTCCAGAAAGAGAAAGAAAAAGAAAAAAGAAACTTCCAAGGACAGAAAACAGACCAATGGTGCCCAGGGGCTTGCCTTCTCGCGATTTTCTAGCGGGGCTCATTGCACCTGGTTGAATATCAACATCTTGAGAAGACTGTCGGGAATAATTTTAAAAAGTGTAGTATGACCACAATGCAGTACACAAGTCCTTTACCGCTCCCCTCCCCCACCCTCACCCCCCATCATCCTCCATCCAGAAAAAGGCCTAATGAAATTTTAGGTGGCAATGGAGCAACTGAACACTGGGCAAAACACAGTGGCACTTCCCAGGATGGCTGGGCAAGTGTCCCCTTTCTTGTGCCCACGGTTTTAGCAGCTGTGAAATGTGGGTCGCTGTGTGGAAGAGGGGGCGGCCGCCGCCCGGGGGTCTCTCCTCGGCGCTGCGGGCCGGGCGGGCGGCCGAGCGCGGCGCGTGTGGCGGGAGCCGCGGTGACACGGACGCGGGCCGGGGGCGGCGCGCGGGGCTGGCGGTGCGCGGGCGGGCCTGCCGCGGTGCTCGCGCGGCTCCCGGGGAAGGCAGCGGGCCCCATGGCGCGGCTGCGGGACGGCCTGCCCCGCCTGGTGGTGGCGATCCGGTCCCTGCTCTTCTGGTCCCTGGTCTACGGCTACTGCGGACTCTGCGCCTCCATCCACCTGCTCAAACTTTTGTGGAGCATCAGCAAGGGACCCGCGCGGACCTTCCGGCGGGTGGTCCGGGAAAACCCCCCCGCGTGCCTGAACGACCCCTCTCTGGGCACCCACTGCTACGTGCGGATCAAGGTGAGGGCCGGCGCGGGCCTGCGGGGACCGGAGGGAACGTGACGGCCGTGGGAGCGAGGGCGCGGGGCCGATCCCTCCATGACGCTCGGCTCAGCGTCCCCTAGCGTTCCCGGGCACGCGGTGGGGACCCGGGAGACGCCTGGGGGAGGCAAGGGACGGGTCAAGCTTGTGTCTTTATGTTCTTTGCATATCCTGTTTGTGTGTGTGTGTGTGTGTGTGTGTGTGTGTGTGTGAGAGAGAGAGAGAGAGAGAGAGACAGACAGACAGACAGAGAGACAGAACACAGCAATCCGTTTTGCAAGCCCTTTAGGCGGTTTCTGAAGCGGGATTTCTCTAATCAGGGTCCTCGTGCACTGCTTTCCCCTCCTCCCCCTGCCAAATCAACCCAGAATATTCTGCTCCCTTTCTTACTGTCGACTGTGAGGGGAAGCTGTCCCCTGTCACCTTTTTGCCCTTTAGAGCTCAGCTGGGCTGTAGGGAATTGCTCCTGGTGATAACCCATGGTCTCAGGAGTTCGTACTTGCCCCAGTTTTGAGATTGAAAGTGAGTAGAGTAAGACCTTAGAAATCCGGAGTTTCTTCTGACCACAGATGACCTAGGCAGCATGAAACAAGAATAAATGAAGTGCGTTTGTGAGGGGAGCAGACTTTCTAAATCAGGGACCAAAGGAAGAAAAATTAAATGTCAGCCATACATGAAGACTGTTTAATTGGCCGAGCTTGTCCCAAGCTTTCTCACCAGTCCACAGATGCTCTATTTCCTGAGACTCCGTGCGGGGAAGGGAAATAGCTTCAGTGATACACCCTAAGGACCTTTCAAAACCAGCACCCTATGGGAAGTCCTGATTTCCTATTAGGAGCTAAATTGCCCAGTGGTTGGACTTCAGAAGGACATTCAGGAGTTTAACCTGGAATTGACATAAGAATAATCAAGTGAATCAATATTTGCCAAAAATTACAAAATGTCCCAAACCAAATTAACTTAGAACCTAATATAATTATTACAATTACTGCAGTGACACACACATTCAGTTAATTAAATCCAGTCCAGTGCATTTCATCCTCCAAAACTCAGGAGGAGGAGGAGAAGGGGAAGAGAAAAGGGAACAAGAAGGGGAAGTAGTAGTAGTTATAGAACTTCTAGAAAGGGATTCTGCAGTTGAGGGGAAAGTCAAATTTGTTAACTCTGTCCAACCCTAGGTGTAAACGTAGCATATGTGTCACCTGAAATTGCTCATAAGATAATCCCCTCACTGGCTTTATAGAGCGTCCCTGAAGATGCAAACCAAAGCATGGGAAGAACACTGTCTCAAGAGTTAGGACAGATGGGAATTCGCCACCCTACTCCCAACCACTTTTTTTTTTTTTTCAGTGCTGGGGATGAACTCAGGGCCTTGTGCTTGTTAGGCAAGGGCGCTTCATCCCTAGTCTTCCAACCACCTTCCTTACTTAACATATTTGGGCCTAAATCTGTAAAGTGTTATGGTTGAATTAAATGACCTTTAAGACTCCTTCCACATCTGAAAAGCAAAAACCCAGTGTCTCTGTTCAGTTTTTAGTTCTCATTTCTTTCCTTCTTTCAGATTTTAATTTTTCTTTCTTGCTGTCTTTTCCACTTTCCTCCTCTCTTCAGTTTGCTTTCTATTAGCTGCATTCTCTCATTCCCATTCCTTGGGCTGTCTTGTCTCCCACAGGCAGGGTAATGTCTTGAGCACTCAGGATATGCTGCTGTTAGACACACACACTGATGTGCAGAACAGGCAGCAAAGGTGAAACACTCAAAATAACGTGGGAAGGAGACACCTAAAAATAAGAGAAGGAGGTGTGAATTATGTAACTGATGGCACAGCTTTTGACAGGCAAGCCAAGAAAAGCACATGACTAAGAGGTAATCTTGGCAGGAATATAAATTCAGATCAGAATTATTTACATGTCCTGCAGAATTTGAGTGAGATGAAGTGTGACACATCAGCAAGATGACAGTTACAAATCGTGACATTGTTTCAGATGCTCCAAACATATAAACTGACCTTATAGTAGAACAAGACAGGAAGCGCCTAGGAAGGGAACGCCAACAAAAGTGAACCAGTTCATTCATTCTGTTGATAAGTCCTGGGCTTTTTCTTTTTGAAATGAATAATATTTACTTTATTTCTTGATGTTAAAATAATAAAGGCAAATTTTGTAATGAAATGGAAATGCTAAATGTACTGTTTTGCCATCAATGCCAAACATCACTAAAATTCCATGCCCTCCATTTTCAGGATTCAGGGTTACGATTTCACTATGTTGCTGCTGGAGAAAGAGGCAAGCCACTTATGCTGCTGCTTCATGGATTTCCAGAATTCTGGTAAACTTACCAACTAACTTTTGCATTAAAACTTGGCTTCTTGGCTTAGTCCATCTTGTGCTGGTATAACCGAATACCACAGAGGAGTAAATTTTCTCACAGTTCTGGAAGCTGGGAGGCTCAGGATCAAGGCACTTGTGTCTGGTGTGGGTTGTCCGTGTCATCACGTGGTGGGTGTGGAAGGGCAAAAAGGCAAAGGAGGCAAACTCATCCTTAGACAATGGCATTAGGCCCCACCTCTTCCCACTATTACAATAGCATTCTACATGAGTTTTGGAGGGCACAAAAGTTCCAACCACGGCACTTACAGAATCTTTTTCTTATAATGACTTTTGACAGCCCTTACTCTATGATCATTTGCCCAGAGGTAGCATTCCTGATTTGTCCAAATCACAGCAATGGTTTTCTTCTTACTCTAAAGAAGCCCACATGCAACCATTCTAAATTTTTTTGAAGATTACAAAAAAAAGTAGCTTTTAATCTTTCAAATATTTGAAATAAGGATTAAATAGTTTCTATAAAGTGCTAACAGTTTCTTTGTTACTACGGACAAAGTACAACACTGGGGTGGGCAAGGAGATTGTGAACAAAACAAAGGCTCGGGGTGCTTGTTATCAGGAAGGTTTTAGAGAAGCTTGGGATAGAGGGAAGGCAGAAAGAAGACTCCAGGAAACTTAATATAAACTGTTTCCTGTGCACATAGCTATAGGCTCATATGAATGCAAGATAAATTAAGGAACTAAACGTTTCAGGTTATGAGGAAAACCTAAAACTAAAACTACAGTTTACTTATCTTAGTCTATTTTTGCTATTATTATAAACTACCTGAGATTAGATAATTTGCAAAGAACAGAAATATATTTCCCACAGCTTTTGAGGCCAGGAAGTTCAGATCAAGGTCATAGTAGGCTTGGTGTCTGCTGAGGGCCAAGTCTCTGCTTCCAAGATTGTGCCTGATTGCTGTGTCCTCCAAAGGGACCAAATACTGTGTCCTCACATGGTGGAAGGGTAGAAAGACAAAAACAGCCTAGCTAGTTCCCTCCAGCCCTTTTATAAAGTTGCTAATACCGTATATGACAGCTCTGCCCTCATGACTTTATCACTCCCTAAAGACACCTAAGTACTATCACCTTGGCAAATATGTTTGAATATATGAATTTTGGGGTACATATTCAGACCACAGCAGTTACCTAGGAGGAAATTTTCTATTCTTCATTAACCCCACAGGGTCAAATAAAGACAAAAGTAATACCTGATTAAACCTTAAAAAATGAACATCTTTAAAAGAGATAGTGAAAATAGTGGTTAAAAAAAGACTAGTTTTGGTGACAGAGGGCCATGATCTTCAGATGATTTGTGAATTAAATCGGTCAAAAATGGATGAAAAAAATCCATATTCTCTGAGTTGGCTCAACGGTAGAGTATCTGGTGTCTTTTGATCTAGGACAATATTCTGTGCCCAACCTCCCTCTCACTATCTCATGATTCCTGGAATATCACCATTAAAATTTTTTCACCTCCTTTAGAATTTTTAAGGATTTTGTCTTGAATTAAGATACATATAGCTCTGAAAGGAATATTATTACTTTTAGGCAATTTAGTTAAATGCCTTATCAATAAAAGGGACTTCGTGAACAAATGCATTGAGGATGCTAGTATAAACTAGGAAGTATTAGCCATTGAAGAAAGGAATGGATAGAAAAGACCCATTTACCTCAAAATTTTTCTAGAGCAAAAAAACCTGTGGGTGCCTTTTCCTGAGGCAACTTTTCTTTCATGAAGATTTTTCCCCCTCAAATTTAACTGCATGAATAAACATAAGTCACTTTCATCTGCTCTTCCATCTGGAGACAGCCTAATTAGGTGGTAGAAAAGCTGCCTCGTGCAATTCAAACATACGTGTGGGCACTCATGACATGGCTGGCTCACATCACAGTAAAATGTTACTCTGAAGCATTAGTCAAAATGTCCAAGAGGAACATGGGCAGAAAATTCCAGCTTACCCACTTGATTGCAGGACCCTGAACAATCATTCATAAAAGACTTGCAGAGATATTGTGAGGATGGAGTTAAAACATGAAAGGACTTTTCCAAGACCCCAACAAACACTCAAAAGATGTTCCTTCTTTTCATTCACTCAGTGTGGTGATCCAGAATCCCCTAATGCTAGTGATCACAGCTAACATTTACTGAGCACTCACCATGTCCCAGGTAGATGAGAACATATCTATCCTTTCCAAATTGTCAGTACCAGGAAATAAGATGCCCTTAATTCTTGCAATTCACAGCCAACATCTGCTGCTTGTTCTCAGACTGTAGGCATGATGGTAATCTGATAATACACATGGATTTTTAACCCTTCAAATTTCACCCTTATATGAACATTCAACAGGGTAGTAAAAAGTTAGCAAACAAAACAGGAACACCTTTAACATTTTAAGTCATCATTACAAATAGAACTTATTTATTTAGAATGGGGTGGTTGATATTTACACCAGTGAAAGTCCATGCTCTTTTTCCTCCTGGAATTTTTTTTACCTGCTTACACGGGCAGCAATCTTTGGGAAGATAAAAATGATTCTGCAAGGACCTCAACTATTTGATAACTATTTCAAGAAGCCCCAGAAAATGGCAGTGGCAATCATTTAAGCCAGGGAGGTAGATGCTCTTGGAGATACTTTTTTGCATTTTTGTTATAGCACTGTTCAATTATTTACTCCTCACAAGAGCCCTGTTGCAAAATAGAAATGCCTGGTGATTTTTGGGCATGTCCTAGAATCTTCTTTGGACAGGACACTGAGAAGGGGCCCAGCACTGGCCTCTGGACATTAGCTCATTTGCTCTAGTAATCAAGTCTGGAATGTGTCGAAAAGAATCTCATTGCTGTGAGGGACAGTTTAGTTTTCAAAACGCTACTAGGAATATTTTCACTCCGAAGATCTATGGATTAGAAATATATACACATCATAGATGGGAACAACTTGCCTCTATTCATCTGGTTCACCATATGTCACTCTTGATATAATTTCAATCAACAATAAACCCAGATAGATCAGTTACTCAAATAGACCATCTTGAATTCAATGAACTCTGCTGGCCCTTAATCTGAAAGCCGCCTATTGTTCAGGGAAAGAAACCACATGGAAACTACTGGTAATAAAATACCTCTTTTTAAGTATGTCATATTCTAGACCAAGACTGCTCATTTGTCCTTCCTTCTGAACAAAATACCATTATTACTCTCTTCAGTATACCTAGTGGATTCCACTCAAGTGCCATTCCTCTATCAATTAAGTTTTGTTTAAATACACATAAGTTATAAGCTTGTTTGTGAATCTGGTAAGTCAGAAATATTTGATACATGAAAACAAAATAGTCATAAATTGGTAATATGTATGAAAGTGCTTTTTAAACAGAGAAGCAATACTCTCTCTACAACTAAATTAGAAATAAGGGCAAAATAGTTTCTGCTGGGTCTTGGGGGGGGGTGAGGGAGGGGGCGGAGTGGGTGGTAAGGGAGGGGGTGTTGGCAGGGGGGAGAAATGAACCAAGCCTTGTATGCACATATGAATAATAAAAGAAAAAGGAAAAAAAATAAATTAACAGAGAAGCATCATATAAATGTAATGTATATCTACATTTATCATTACCTGAGAATAACTGTTGAGAAATGGTGATGTTTAATGCATACTATTACTTGGTACACAAAAACAATAAAATTGTATCTACTTTCTTACAATCAAAAAAAAATCGTCGAAGAAGATGCACATCTGTGAGAACTTTAGCTAAATTAGCCCCTGATGATGTCATTTGTCAAAGGATGGCTTTTCTCTCCCTCTCTGTCTCAATTTGCATCTCTTTTAAAAATATTTTGAGCCAACCCAGGCAATTTCTGTGAATCACTTTCATCCCAGCTGTATTGAATGCCTGTGTCATCACTCAAGCATTCTTCATGCATACAGCTGAGCACAGAGGCCAGTGACCCAGGCCTTCCTCTGTAGTGAAGACAAAGGATGCTTTGCATCCCAAAGTGGCTGGTCTGGTAAAGTCAGAAACTCACCTTATGTTAAGAATAATGCCTGAGAAAAGAGGCTGTTCCCGCCCTCAAGTTGACTCTGCTATTATCTAAAGCAACCCCCCCCCAAAAAGAGCAATGTGCATGAAAATAGTTTGGTTATTTATAGTATTTTCAGGGTTACTGCTTTTGTAGTTGTGTTCCAGTACCAAGGGGGTTGTTTTATTCATATGGATGACACGCTCATCAGTCTATCACCTGGGTAACTTCCCTTCCAGTTTAGGGAGAACGTGTGAACCAACTGTGTTATTATTTATGAATTCCAAGAAGAAGACCTTTAAAAATTCTTCTGTAATTTATTAAAATACAGTTACCTTATTTCTTATAATTGTTTAAGATATTGTCTGACTGTACTAATTGGTAACAACAATAGTTGCATTTTTTTAAAGAAATTTAAATTATTCATAACATAAGACATGCAGGTTTCATGTTTACATGATCTCTTAATATAACTTTAAATGTGAAATGTTGCAGAATTGTGTACACTGAAATCAAATTTCTACCTTGAAATTTCTAAATGAATTATAAGTGAAGATACCAGTATTTATGATATTAAAATAATACATAGTTTAATGGAAATTGAATATAAATTTCCATACAGGAATAGGAGACTTTTAACTGTCTTTATCCTAGCTTTGAACTGGGACAGAAGTCCCAGTGAACAACTGGCACTTCTAGCACTACCATCACTCAGTGTTCCATTGGTCTGTTGATTCACTTAGTAAGTATTAATCACATACAGACCACTTAGGGAGCTCACGATGAATGGAGGAGGCAGATATCAGCAGATCATTATATAACATGTGCCCAGTGCACTAAAAGTGTACATAACCAAGCTCAAGAGAACTAAAGGAACCACAGGCACCAGCCTGTGAAGGAGGCAGCCTAGGATGGCTCCTGGAAGAGGAGTCCCAGTGTGAGGAAGAGTT